CAGATTTCTCAAAGAAACAAATGAATGAATGGGGACAAAGTCCTGTAGGTTGAAGCAATAGGACCTAATACTCTAACTGTCGAGAAAAATTGAGCAACGCTTGGAAAAGAATTTATTTAGCCTCGATCTCGAGTCCGATCTATGTTCCTCCCCTTCGGGGGAGGAGCGGGGTATCCTTTCCCGAACAGGGGCTGGTAATTGAGCATACCTGCCGGGTTTTACTGTATTAATTGGAGGATTCCATACATAAAATGACGAACACAAGGGAACGAGTCGTTAATAATTCATCATCAGCAGAATAGCTCCTTACTAGATATAAATATCGATACACTACAAATAGCTTGGCTCAAGTTAAACAAAATCGCTAATGCGGTGTTGAAAATTTCGAGCTTGATTGCAATTAAAATCATCGCTTATCTTTCTCTGAAGGTGCATGTCAGTGACAGGTACGATAATCTTGTTGTTAGAGTGATTACCAGCTTAGGGAATAAATACTTAAGTTAACTAGCCAGAGACGGAAAATGCCCGCAGGTGGCTTCGGCAATGCAAATCAAAGTGACAAAGTAGTTCTGTGGTCAATTGAGAAAAGATTGTTTTTGTCGGCAAAAACGCTGCTATAGTTAAGACAAATTAAAAATCAGTCGGTTGAAAATTATCCCTTAATAGTAGGCCGTTTAACGAATACTTGATTTTTATCCGGCCGAGTCAATTATCATAGAAGATTTGGTTAATTTACAAATTGTTTGTAAACAGACAGGTACTGGGAGAAGCCAAGTTCAAAATGAAGCTAAGCTTAACGTAAATTGCCTCCATTCAATAATCTGCCAATCAAAGGTTACGTTATCTCTTAAAAACTGGAACAGCTGCAACGAAGACTCCGCAGTAGAGAATCGAAATTTCGTAGTCACTGCATACGCTTCCACTATGACAGATGTAGAAGAGACTATCAAATTTGAGCCAAAATCGCTTGTTATTAAAATACTCATCTATGCTATCGTCCTTCTAGTTGGAGCGGCAGTTTTCATGGAGTTGGAGCGAGGAAGGGGGGAAACCACTACAGGGAAATCTGACGCAACAAAGCTCAAGGAAAGCTTGGCAGAGAAGTACAATATCAGCCCGACAGACATGAACCTCCTAGAAACTGCTTTCGAACAGGAATCAAGCGCGAGGGCAGAAGCTGAAAGATTGAATCGCTGGACTTATAGCAATTCCGTCTTCTTTGCTTTTACAATTATGACAACGATCGGTAAGAATTGTTAAAATTTTCTTTTAAATAACTTGGTGATCGTAGAAGATGGTAAATGGTATGGTAAAAGGAAACGTTTTAAACAATTTTCAGTTCTTAATGTATAGGCTTAAAAGTATCGTCTAATCGGGGGATATGAATTCATCTCAATTTGTAACATTATTTGGTAAACTACGTGAAAGTACCTCTATTTTTCTAGACATGTAAATGTTTGCTGTCTAAAACACATGAATGGAAATCACCATCACTAATTAAAAGTGTTATTTTAGTTTTATGCATCTCTTATATATTTTCAGATCAGAAACTCGATTATTTTTTGGCGGCGCCAAGTTTTCGTTTCTCGATTTGTCATTACAGCCTATGGTGACAAAACAAATTCTTATTGACATAAAATGTTACGAATAAATTAAAAACCACTCAAAACTCGAGTTCGGTTTCTTACAAACAAAGCGATTCCAANCAGATGTATTTACCGATTCAATTTTTCTCGCGTTCGAACCGGCTCCAAAATATTACAGATTCGTGCCCGTGTGCTGATTGGCTACTGTAGGATTTTCGCGCACAAGTAACAACCAATCACGGATCTCTGAATAGCTATCTCCCAGAGGTCTTTCGAGCCGGAAGAATTTAAAAACATGCGCAATGTGTTTTCACTCAAGCAAAACATTGTAATTTCCAACTATGGGTTGAAATAAAAGTTTTTTTTGTTGTTTGTTACAGCGTGGAGCAGTTCTTCAATGAGTCTTTACGTTTTTCTCATTGTCTCTTTTTAAGGTTATGGCCACATGTCACCTCACACATGGCAAGGCCAGCTGTTCTGTATTTTCTTCAGTCTACTGTCCATACCAGTCGCGGGCATCATGTTATTGAGTGTCGGGAATCACGTGAGCTTAGTTATCCGGGTCTTCATCCGCTTCATGGAGAAAACCTGCCTCAGAAGGGTGGTGTCGGGGAGCGCTGAAATGAAGAGCACCATCGTTACCTTCCTTCTAATGATCCTGATGATTATTTTTGGCGCCATTCTGACGTCACACACCGACGGCTGGTCGTTCATTGAAGGAACCTACTTCACTTTCATCAGTGTTTCTACAATAGGATTCGGCGATTTCGTCGTTAACGACGGCGAGTTACAGTCCACGGACCACGGCAAGACGTTTGCTGTGAATTTCACTATCGTGTTGATCACCCTGGGGCTGTGTGTCGTGTCCAGTGTCCTATGCTCGGTCAGCGCTGTCATCGAAGAGAGGCAGAGGCGCATGCGCATTGAACTGCCCGGATCAGCGACCAATGCTCTGAATGCTGCTAACTTAGCCTTCAATACAGTCACTAGTAACCTGCCATTAAGGTTGTCGACCAAGGCCAAGGTTAAACAGGCTAGTGATCGTAGTCCAGAAAACAAAGAAAACGGAGAAGTAGAAACGATAAGTGTTGGTTAGCAGCCGAGCTCAGTTGCGTCCTTTGAGCTTTCATTCCCCTTTGAAAAAAGGTAGTGGAAAAGAAGCTGGTGTCGAGCCTTGGCCCCAGTTGTTGACCGTTGGTCACGGTCAGTTGATGAGATGAACGGCCTTGTCAGGTCACCCGAAAACGATTGACCGAAGCGAAATATCAAGGCCTAGGAACCGGGCAAACATTATTTCATGGCTGGTTCTAACCGGCTCAATTATATAACCAGGAAGGTCATAACACTTATAGGAATTCTCCCATGGAGTGTAATAAGTATAGGTAATCTTATGAATGCGAGTGAAGTTATGGATATACACTGCGAGTGATATTTGAAACTCTCTCAAAGTTGCACGAGCCTTTATGCGAGTGCAATTGAAAGAATTTTCAAATATCTCGAGTAGTGTAAATCCCCCATTGCTCGAGCTTTCGTACGGTGATACAACTGGGAAAATCACGAAAGCGCACGCGTTAATTTGCACTTACGATAAATGGCAGATTTGCACGATGGCGTCATTTGACTAAAGCCACCAAAATTCATATCGGTTTTTCTTTGTTTTGGTTTGTTTGTTGTTGTTTTTTTTTAATTTTAAAGTCCCATGCAGTAGAGTTTAATAATCATCTTAAGAAAAAGAAATAAGGGATTCTGGTAGTTGAAGTCAAATGACCCTGTCACGCAAATCGCCTATTGGTCTGCTCTCAGCCAATCACAATGAAGTAATTTTCTCAGTTATATAATAAACAATGTAAAGGCAGAGACCAACACAACATAGGATGATCTTTTAAGATGTGGCTATATTTCGGCTGGCCAAACCAGCCGCCTTCTTCAGGCGCAATGAGAATTTTACATTGGAAGGGGTGTTTTGTAGCCCGCGTAGCAGTCTTTTCCGTTTCCTTTCAGGCAAGCATAGGAGTCGCGCAAGGGTACGGGGACAGAGGTAACAAAAAAAAATAGTGGCAGCTCGCCCCATGCGTTCGCGCGACTTCCCCTTGGCTCTCGCTTTCTCCCGCTCAGAGGAAACGGAAAAGACTGCTACGCAGGCTAGGTGTTTTGTAGTATATTTGCGCGAGAAATGATTATGATCTGGTCATAATCTCTTGATTATCGTAATACCGGAAATACGTAAAACTAAACTAATTAATTGACAGTGTAAATCAAAGATAAGGTGAGATAAAATAATGAAATAACATAAATACAGGAAATTATTAATATGTTTCTTCGCAGATGTTAAGACCATCGGGTTCAATTGTGCTTCCTTTTTTAATTGAAAAAGCTTCTCTGGCCTTGCGGATCGAGTCTTGGTTTGAAACGGTTTTTTCGATGGGGATTAATTGCATGTTAGCAATGTGGTTAGGAGAGGAGAAGAGAGGAAATGTTCTGCGGCTGTAGTAGGTTTAGATTTGGTGTTAGGGTTATCTATAACTCAGCGGTGTTCATTAAAGTGGTATTTTTTAAAGAGTCTTTCCTGTTATTATTTTATTTCATTATTTTATTTTACCTTATTTTATAACTTACACTGTCAGTTATAGTTAAGTTTTACGTATTTCCGGTATGATTACGCAAACCAAAAGACTATTATAATCTCTTGCGCGAATATACTACAAAACACCCCTTCCAATGTAAAATTCTCGTTGTAACTGAAGAAGCATGGTTTGGTCAGCCGAAAATATAGTTAACTGACAAATAAAGAAGCCTCGCCTGTTCTGCTCTGTTCTGTTGTAAAGTACACAGGAAGCGGTGGAACACGAAAGAAGTGTAGGAGAAAACAGGAGACGTAATGTTTCTTCTCTTTTTAATGTCTTTTATCGAAGCATTTGCTAGGTTGAGAATTTGTTTATTTCGCTACGTGTTTTGTCGAAGTCTAGCAACCTGTTATTTTAGTACAGTTTTAACACTACTGTTTTTAACAATAGTTAGTTTTATTATATGGCTAGCTCCGTGGGCGGGCAAGATGAATCAAATCCTGCGCTGTGATTGGCTACCCGAGCGGGNTGCATCGGCTGAACAGCTTTGTATGGGCTACGTTCGTACGTAGATGAACAGCTGGAAGCGGGATATGCGTCAGAACCGCGTGGTTGAAGCGGAACTAGTTTACAGAGCGTAAATTATATTGTTGTCAATTTGAAGAGCGGTTTCCACATAAGTCGAGACGTAATTGGTTTTGTATTACTAAGCTATATGATTGGCTTAAAAATCTCGTACCACTTTTTCATCCAATCAGAAGTAAAAGCTACTTTCGAATATTGAAATTCAGCTTGATAGGCGCAATCAATCAAAAACTCAGTCAATCGATTTATTGCCGTCAAAACATGGGTCGCCAATTGAGAGAAATGAATAAGTAAACATGCTCAATCATTTTCCTCTAAACCTCGCTGCCAAGCTGAATTTTAATATACCAAGACTCGCTTGCAAATGTTGTCCTACACTTCGCATCAGCTACATATCTTTATTTCAAGTTTGATTGGTTCACTGTAATGTCTGTGTGCTTTGTGATTGGCTAGAGTGATTATATTGGTCTAGGTTTTACGACAACCAGTTAAAACTGCTCTATGTACTCTAATATTCCTTTAGTTTACTTAATAGTTTGATTATTTTTTTCCTCTTAAAGTGCCTATGAAGTAAAAATAATTGCTGCTTATTTGAAAGGCTTTTCAAAGTAAAGAAGAATGGCGTTTTCCTTTTTGGAATATCTTCCTTTCCTTCCCTGCCCCTCCCCCCTGCCACTAATTTTTTTGTTACCTCTGTCTCCATGCCCTCGCGCGACTCCCCCTTGCCTGAAAGGAAACGGAAAAGACTGCTACGCAGGCTAACTCAGATCTAGTGCAGGAAGCCGGTATGATTTGTCGACCAGACAAGAAGCGTTCCCTGGTGCCAAGATAAGAGTGTTTCCTATCATTACTGGAAAGAGATATCGGTCATTGACTAAAGTGTGGGGTCAATATGGTTGGATATTGGCCAAGTTCCTTTTTTACGAGTTTATGGACCGAAGAGCGGAAGTCCGTAAACTCACACCAAGAAAGAACAACGCCAATATTCAGCCATCTTGACCGAACAAGCTTAAGCATGACGTTAACGGCAGACGGCGAACGGCAAAGACTACCTCAGTCTGATTGTTCATTTTTTTTCTTGTATTCCTTAAATAACCACACAAAAATCGAAAAATGTCTTCTACCATTCACCGCAAATACAAATATTTTCACTCTACTGTACAAACAGCTGAAGACAGACGGCAAAAATTTCATTTTTGCCGCTTGCCGTTTGACGTAACTTCAAGCTTAATCTCTTTAATTTTTCTTGCGGAACACAACGCGTAATCCAGAGCGGACAAGATAGCGCCATCTTGCCCGCTCGTTGGGGTAGCTTATCACAGCGCAGGATTTGGTTCACCTTGCCCGCTCGATTACGTAAAACCGTCTATCTACTGACTAACATTGTGAGGGCTTCCATCTCTAAAAAGAGGTTTGCGAGATAATTCTTGGACCCATTTTTAGGGTCAGAGAGGCATCCAACTGCTAAATCTTTCTAGGAACTTTGAAACTGATATCAGGAAATGAAATTTGCTTGAGATTTAGAAATAGGTTCAATGTA